CAGATCGAGCTACAAGCAGGAATTATTTATTTGCCTCGCAAACTAATTAATTCAAATTTCGTTGTTCTTTTTGTTAGACTCGGAGAACAAGAAGATGCCATCGTTGAAAAATCAAAAGATTTCTTGATATCCTCACTTAAATGGTCAATTGCTCTTTTAGGAGCTAAGGATGTACTTTTAAACAATCAAGCAACCTTCATCCTGATAGCTATAGCTCTCATCGTGCTCTTTGGCATCAGTTCGCGAACAACACGAAGCAATGGTGGAAAGACATTCATCAATTTCATGTTTCTCATACTTGGATGTCTCCTTGTTGGAGTAGCAATTGACTCGATTGTGCTGAATTCTTACATCAAGTGGGTTATCTATGGTTTGTTCCTTCTTATGGTAGCTACAAATCCCAGTTATGAACAAATTTACCAGGAGATGAAACGGATCTTCAAGTCTACGTGTGGAGAAATTTCTTTGATACTCAAAAACATGTTCATTCAATCACAAAGGATTATCAAAAAACTTTTGAAAATTAATGTTGCGGACCGAGAAGAATCATCGATGAATAACAACTCTGTGACTCGACCCGTTGGTAGTGACGGAGGTGGAGTCGGGGAGGACATTGTCTAGTTGATCTCATGATGGAATTCGACACTCTTTATCTCTCTTTTTCCCTTAGTATTTGAAGATGTTTGTGTGTTATGTGAAATAAATGTACGAGCCTTTTTCTCGGTATTATGTGTTTGTACAATATGCAAAAGTGTGATCGGACTATAGTAGCTATATTAAATTTGCAACTTTTGCATATCTGTCCAAGATTGGCAATGCAAATCTATTTCCAATCAATTTTGTGCCCTATGGTATCACTTTTATTTTTGTCCTGCCTGTAGTATGAATCAACAGTGCCCTTTCCCGCAAAAATTGTGATGAAAAAACCCAATCATGTCATGTTTACAGCATCTCAGATGACAAAGGAATCACAAGTCGTGTTAGAGTTTTTTCAAATCAAAAGGTAAAAAAGTCTCAATAACTTAGCAATTCTCTTGACATTATCGCAGGATTTCTGCGTCTATTGCGAACGCTTTGTTTGAGTCATAATTATTCAATCCACAAAGGATAATCTTTCAGAATTGACAATTCGTTGTCGCATTTCCAGAAAAAAGTTACAAGCATCGGGACTCTCTTTTTCGAAGCAACTTGCTTGTGCACCATTGTACGCAAGTTCGAACACGCAAGTCTTCAGAAAATGTCAGAAAGACCCAAGCAACTTACTATGATTGTTATGCAGACTCTCTCTCTCTCTAACGATTCTCTCATGAGCCTCCCCTTTCAGCTTTCACTTTCCTACATCATTTGTCTTGTTTATGAACTTCCACTCTTTCTCGCTCAACGCCGCTAATTTCACGACCCAAAAGAAAAAAAAACACGTTGCTAATTTAATATATTCCATCAATGAGATAAAGAATGATGTTATTCAATTGACCGGATGAGATTTCTTTATTCACAATTAATTTGATTTACTTTATTTACTGTCCTCAAATATTGTAGGACCATGCGTTTAAAACTTGCACAAAAACGGGAACCACAATACGTGTTTTCCATTTATCTTGCAATCGACCCACACCTTATTCCTTTTCGAAGTATATATATCTTAGAACAATTGATAAAATATCTTAGAACAAGGAAATGTCTATTTTTTTTTTTAAATTATCTCAACAATTAGATAAAATAAAGGAGGAGGAGTCCAACTTTCCATTTCGATGATAGGCGTAACTAGCCTGCTATTAAGATATGGCCACTAACCATAGCGATTATATGAAATCTATCAATTAAATTTTACATCGACCTTTTAGAATTGCTTTTTTGTTTATTCTTTGAAGAGCTGTGGAAGGGAGACGTTGTGGGAGTAACCCATTACCTTTTGGGTGGAATGGCCACAACATGGACGTTTTTCTGGCAAGAATTTTTGTCCGCTTAGCCATATCCTTCCCTTGCTGAGTGAAAGGTTTTATAGGGGGTTGGGCGATCTGATTCACGATGAATGCTCGTTTTATGGTGCGAGTCAAAACAAATCCCACAACTAACGATTAAGGTTAGAAAAAAAAATGTCTAAGATTAGAAAGCAAAATCGATATATCTAGTTTGTAGCGAAATTAAGTACCACTAAAGTATGTCAATAGATTCAAAGCGCCAAACTTAATGGCTCTTCACAAGCTCGATACATGTCAATTTGGGATTGGATGTCAACTTGTTTTATTATTATTTATATAATATATGTTGTAAAGCAACTAAGATTGCATTTCAATGGCGCAACGGTCGTGGGGTTGGGAGGTTCTAGGTTCGAACCTTTAGGCACATTATCCCAATTATTCTTATCCAATTTTTTTTCATATTTTTTTTCCTTTCTTTCCTGGTTATATTTACAAATATTAAATTAAATAATGTCCAATAAATCTATAAAAAAAATTATAAAAGCTAAAAATTCGTTGTGCTTTAATGTTTAGCAACATATTGGGTGTAGATTGTCAACCTTAAGCTATTGTCACTGATTTAGAGTCCGCATTAATGAATGCAATTCAATTCATTTGTCCAAAAAGTGCAAATTTTGTTGTGTATTTGGCAATTGAGAAAACTATTGTGGTAAAATATATTCATTTTGAAAAAGGAAAGGATTGGGTTTATAATTTTTATGTCTGATTGGTCAAAGTTTTGGACTCGAAGAGTCGAGTGGAATATCATGAAATTATCCGGCAATTCAAAGATTATAAGGAAAAGCCATTGGTTCTTAATTACATTAAACATGCATAGCTTCATTTAAAGAGCTTTTTTTGCCTGCTTGGACCGACTTGCACATGCATTATGGGAATCATGTTGCTTCAATAGCTGAAGGGGCACATTCAACTTGAAAGCATATCCACAAGTTCAACAGGGTATATAGTCGAGATGAAAAATAAAATATGGTTGCAGTTGAGAATCGAATTCAAGAAATCAAAAGCAAATTGTCAAGTGAGAAGATAAGAGTTCGTCATCATCTTCGTATTCCTCTTTTCAGGAACTTGATTACTCGTTTTTTAGACGAGCACTACAAGCAATATTAGATCGCTAAAAGTATGGTTGCGCTATCTACTTGTACCAGGCATTTTATGCAATCCATGGGCTTTTCATATGCGCATGAGATAAAATTAAAGTTTTTAGCTGATTTACCTCTAGATATAATTAATCCACAATGGAGGTTTGATATAAGGTCCTTGCTAAATCGTGATATTAACCAAAATAACGAAAAAAATTCATTTAAGCAACCACTTTATGAGTTGGAAAGGAAGTTTCAAGAATGGCCATTTTCCACAAAGGAAATTGTTGATGTGGCTAGCACTATAACCTGGATGGCTTGGGAGTGGAATTAAAACAGTCAGGATTAATATCACGTAAAGATAGTCTGAAGAGAGACTATGCTATAATCAGATTCATTTGTGTGCAGTATACTACTAAAGATAATAATAATTAGTTGAGGGATAGAGAAAGTTGCACACAAAACTTATAGTGGTTTGGCTTATTGCAGGCCTACGTCCACTCTCCACGTAGACAGCCTAATAGCTGGATTTTACTAGTGAATCAATCAGAGGTTATAGAAGTGAGTAATAACACTCAATCTTGACAGGTCTCACTATCTTAGAGTCACTTACACTCAATCTTGACAGATCTCGCTATCTCAGAGTCACTCTTTTTAAACCTCTCAAAGATTACAATTTTGAAGCTCATTAAGACAAGCGTGTAAAGTAGAAGCTCTCTTGGACTTTGGAATTTCAAATTCACCTCTCTTTCTCTTCAATACCAGAATATCCTTTTATATTCCTCCACTTCCAATCTAGCCATTGGACAATTTTCAGAGGATCATTCTCCAATCAACCCGTTGGACACAAATACTTCAAGGAGATTGAGTAGCTATTGAGTAACGAAATCATAATGCCCCATTGATTCAGTTGCCCATATAGCCAAAGCTGAGTTTCCATAAGTAGAGTTCTTCGTTTGGAAAGAACATCTTGTCTAAAGATGATTGTCAATCGATCAGAAATGTCTTGCTTTGGTTATTGCGGGGTTATCTAGGTTTCGTTCTGTCCATCACCTATCGGCCATTCCGCTCCGTTTTCCGTCTTCACGCTTGATAAAAAAACCGCAGTACATAGGAAGAGGGGGAAGGTAAAAGACAAAAGCAGGAACAATTTTACTTTCATGAATCCACTTCATCGTCGGCGGATCATGTCTGAAGATAAAGAAGTAGTTTTTTTTTAGAGGAATTGAACGATTATATGTGTAAATTTGCCAATGTACCCCGTTCGGTGATTTTGGCACTGGACATTCCCGAAATGGATGCTATCATGTTGGGTGAATTCAAAGCTGGATGCTTGTTACTGACACGATAGCATTCCAGCATTCCTTCTCATTTTGGGCAAATATCTTAATAGTTTGTATATTGCTGTGATATGGTGCTTTTTGTGTCCCTGAATTTATGATGGGGGGTGCTACATGCATCGTAGTAAAAGTAATTTCTACAATTGCTTATAATGAGATGACTTATGGAGAGAACCGATATTTCCAACATGTATATTTACATTAAGATCCATAATAATATGTCACCTTCTTGATTTATTACACTAAACAATTTTTCTGAGGTAATATTTGAATGTACGACAGACTAAGGTCAGCTTAGGATGAAAATCGCCGTTCTTGAGTTAATTCGGATGGCTTGTATATCGTCTTTTCAGTTTCGGCATAAGGCACCGGAAATTTTCATGTGCTCTCAAAGCATGATATTTTCAACTTACTTAAAATCAAAATTCACATGCAAAGCGAGTGTTAAAAGCGTTAAGTGCACCTAAAACACCTTGTCTACAACTCGGTCGGGACCGGACCGGTCCAAATGCTTAAGCCTCAAAGTTCAATCGGACCGGTGCGACTGGACCGCGCTGCTTTTACATCGCTTCCCTCCCATTTTCTTCACTCCGCCGACCTCGTCATTTTGCGACGGCCTGTCGTCACTTCGGTCTGAGAATTGCCGTGACGCTCGAATGGCGGTGAAGCGCCGCTCTTCCGCTTCCGACTCGGAGTCCGACAGAGCGCAGGTGAGCTCGGGCTTCTAGCCGGAGCCTCCGACCCTCCCCGGCTCGGCGAAGGCGGCCGTGTTGACGACTTACGAGAAGCAGAGGCTGTCGAGGATCGCGGAGAACAACAAGAGAATGGAGGCCCTGGGCCTCCGTAATTTGACGAGTTCCGTGATGGGTTCAAGCTGGAAGGCGAAAAAGGGCGGCGCGAAGGGCAAAAGGAAGGTGGGTCAGGAGGAGGAGGAGGAGGACGACAAGGATGGTGATTACGCGCCCGCTTTGGACGATGATGGTGGCGATGATGATCTTAGCGTCGACGAGGAGGATGATGATCAGGATTTTGAAGTATCTGGGTCTGGTAAAAGAAAGGTCGGTTTTTTCGTCTTGGTGAATCTTTATTTGTTTATGTTATTTTCGCGTGAATTAAGTTCCTAGTCTAGTTGGGTTAAAGGTGCATGTGGAAATGGAAAGGTAGGTTTACGGCAATGGAGTCAAGAGAAAGAAATGATCATCGAGTTTCTCCTTTCTTGGTTTTTTCGCAATGAGAATGACTTTGCTTGTACATCTCAAAAGAGTTAGAACAATGAGGTCATTGAAGTGAATGAAGTGATTCTTGCTCGGGTGTCATTAATTTTTCGGCTTGGTGGCTCTAGCTTTTATTCATTCCAGTCCGAACTGTTGCGTATCCACCGCAAATTGCGGTCGCTTGGAAGTGTTGCCTATCAATTCTCTTCTCGACACTGTCTTTATTTCTAGTATAATTTTTGGTTGATGTTGTCGCGAAGTGCATTCGGGGGCACTTTCTTCCTGAGTTTTCTCAGTTCTTTAGTCTTCTTCACGAAGTGTTTTATTCACAAAAATTGCTGTAGTGGCTGCATTGAGCGCCTTCTTAATTAGAACGAATTTCTTTATGCTGCACCCAGATTTTATTACTTCGATTGTGACATTCTGGGAACTTCAGCGGTGTTCCTAAGAAATAGTTGGCTTAATTAAACAGAGGACTGTTAGAGAAGATCAAAGTTGGATCCTAAGTAACCACGAGATTTTCGGCTTGAAGTGGCATTGAGAACCTAGTTATGCTATTTCACTCGCCAACATCTATAGATTACCCAACTTAAGCAAAATTTTGTGCAGTCGCTTAGAAACTGTGTGAAAATTAGTACGCTTGCTGGTAGATTATCATGCTATCCTTCCCTTCGTATTTCCTTTCTTTCAAGTCCTTCAGAATTTCAATTAAATTGTGTAATTTTGATGTTTCTCAGCATTTCAAATTATCACAATAAATTCCGAAATTACAGTCTAATTGTTTATTGGCTACTTATTTTGAATTTCATCTATTGCTAATTACTTCAGACTGCTTTAGTGAAGGACATTAATTTGGTGGTACTCTAGTTGCATGTACTTGAAGAGTTGCAGCTAGCTTTTATTATCCTTTTCATTTTTCTCTTCATAGCATTCCTTATGTTAAGTACAACCTCTATTATCAGTTCATCAACTTCCTTGCATGTTTTAAGCCTTTCCGAGTATAGCAAGTGGAAAAATTACTTTTTTTGATTACTTTCTTTATGCTTTCCCCTGGACTTTATCTTTGAGTTGTAAATGGCTTTTTTTTTTGTTGTTTTAATCAAAGAAGGGAATAGTAGCCTCATACCAATTGCTAGGGCTTCCTTCAACTCCATCCAATGTCAAATACCAAGAAGCAAGTGGTTTATCACCTCCTTCTCTTACCTTGATTTTTGAGGTGTGTTCAATGAAAAAGGTTCTTGGTACTTTCAACATACTCATCAATACTTTCGAAATGGTTTCTATCAGTTCACTTCTCCAAACATACATTTGAAGTATTGGAAGATAGTTTGCCACATGGCACATGGATATAACGTCATGGCAGCCACTGTAAGGTGCCGCATCAACATTCCTTTCTTTTTAATGGATAGCGGTTGAAGTGACTTGCTTGAACCCATTTCATAAGTATAATACCTGATAGAAAGCTTGGAAATTCTCCGAATTGGTTAAATATCAATACCACAGTTGAATAAATGGCTTAATTACTGAATAATATAGTGTAGGTGTTTTTAGTGAAATTGACTTATGGCTTTCGTTTAAGTTTAGCTTTTCTGGTGCTTTGTCTGTCCTCTTGGAGTGTGTTTTGGTGGAAGACAATTTTTCTTTCTGTACCTCCTCTTATTGCTTTTCAAGTAATTAGATTTATATTTAAATCGGGATTTAAACAACAATATAAAACTATAGATTTGAGATGCTCTTGGGTTTTTTAGTAAGTTGTATATATATCAGTCTTGGACATGTCATTATAATAATCGCAATGGACATATTGAACATCAGCAATTTCCTCATCCTTGGTTGTTTTATGTTAGGTAAGATCAGGGTGGTGTTGTATGGAAGACGCGTAGATTTATAAGTTATGAAGTCAGAGAATTTGGCTCCGATACTTAGTGCTGATTGCGAAATGCTTAGTTTGAAATCAATTTTGTTTTCCCTGTTTTTAGTCCTAATCCATTTTTAGTATTCGGATCAGATTTCAGATATATCACTTATCCTAGAGGTTGTGACATTGATGTGAAATAAACAACGAGACAAGTAAAAGGAGCTAAACCTGAATTGTCGTTCAATGTGGGTGGAAGAAGTTTAAAGATTGATGTGAGCACAATTGACGAGCTGAATTCAGCGAATTATTTTGATCATGTATTATTTTGAAATGTCTTCTTATAACCGAGCTTCTTGTCCTTCCTAGCTAATGGACGTGTCAATACTTTTGCAATCTCCCATCTTGCTTTGAAATGTTGTGTTTTACCTTTTGTGACTATCTCCTGCTCCAGGGAAAGAGAAAAGTGCCAAAACCGAAGAAGAAACCTCAGACCAAAAAGTTTCTGAATAAGTTGGATTATGTTGATGATGATGCTGAATTGGCAAAGGTAAATCTAGTGTTTTCATGATTGTAATATTCTCATTCCATGGTGAAGCTTGGGTTTCATCTCAGCATGTATTAGAAATATATTACATGTGTAGTAACTACAAGATCAATACTAACAAAGTCAGTGGCAAAATGCAGGCCATTGTGCTGTCTCTGCATGATTCTGCTAGAGTTTCAGGAATGGTGAGTTCAGAGCCTTCCAAAAATGAGGCTGGTGTAGATCTTAATGGCAGAGTAGAAAAGACTTGGGAAAATCCTAGAACAGTGAAGAGGAAAAAACCGGTCTGTAACTCATCCTAATTTTTGTTTAAAGAAAATTTTGTTTCCCTTTTTCTTTCCTAACTGACCATTTTTGTTTCTTTCTTTCTTTGTTTTCCTGTAAATAATTATCGATATCCAGTTTACCAGCCGGGTGAAGATGACTGAGGATGAGCTGATTATGCACTTCTTTCAGTTAGATGGTAATTGATGGTTAATGGAGTTTCCATGTGTATGCTTGTCGGATGATGGATACATATTTTTTCACGTTCTTTTCTTCATTTTTTTTTGGCATTGATGGCTTTGGCATTCACCCTGTTGGTTTAGCACGTCAGGTTTACTTGTCCTTGTGCATCATTAGTCCAAATGGTAGGGAGTTTCAGAGAAGCTAATTTATTGTTAGGCTGAAGCATTCGCATCTAAGACACCAATATCTATAGAAGGCTAATTTGGAGGGAGATATTTATGCTCAGCATATCTCCCATCCCTTTCTTTAGTCACGGTTTTGAAAAGGGATATTAAACATTTGAAAATCTGCCGGATTTTCAAATGTTTAATATGTATATAGTCGTGAGATTTGTTGCTTCTTGATTGCTGTAGTATCAGAAACTGCCAAAAGATGTCACTGAATGTCAATTTTAATACACAGTTTTTTCTACATTCCTCTGGATACTAACAACGAGATTTTCTTAAGTGGATGTTGTGCGGCAATTCTTTTTCTTACTGTGGCTTGTAATCTTATTGTTAAGTGGGTACATCTAGCCCTTCCTGGACCCCACAATGTGGGAGGCTGGTGCAATAGATGCCCCTTTTTGGCATGCGAACCTTTTTGTTTTTGGAATTGACGAGCTTGCATGTGTCATGCAGAAGCAGGGAAGGGCGGCATCACTGTGCATGATTTAGCCAAAGTAGCTGATGCTCATGATTTTACATGGACAGACATGGAACTAGCCAACATGATTCACTGCTTTGATAGCAATGGAGATGGAAAGGTCCTGCCTACTACTATTTTTGTTTCATCTCCAGTCGTGCATGCTAATTCTTCTGTCAACTGCATTGCTGTGGACTCAACTGTTACGCAATTCTGAAAAAAAGTCCCAGCATCATTAATTTAATTGACTGCAGTGTTATGAAATTTTATTAACCATCCATGAGGACAGAGTATCTGTTGCTGCGTAGATACATAATCAACTTATAAGTCTTGTCGGCGAGTGTCCCTGCAGCACCTGTTAACCATACTTAATAAAGGAATTTTTTCATTTCATTTATTATGCATAGCACGAGAAAGATAGTGCATTGGAAATGACAAACTTTCTTTATTGAGGTATTTAGGAAGTGCCTTGTTGTTGCGTAGATACATAATCATACTTAATAAAGAAATGTTTTCATTTCAATTATTATGCATAGCACGAGAAAGATAGTGCATTGGAAATGACAAACTTTCTTTATTGAGGTGTTTAGGAAGTGCCCTGTTGTTGCGTAGATACATAATCAACTTTTAAGTCTTGTTGGCGAGTGTCCTTGCAGCACCTGTTAACCATACGTAATAAAAAAATGTTTTCATTTCATTTATTATGCCTAGCACGAGGAAGATAGTGCATTGGAAATTACAATCTTTCTTTATTGAGGTGTTTAGGAAGTGCCCTGGCGGCACTTTTTAACAAAATTCTTAAATTATTAATGTAGATCAAAATCTAGGCGATTTGAAATTATCTTGCGTTAGTCCATGTGCCAAGAATCGAACAATATTAAATATGATTTCACTATAACTGTCTGGGAGAGTATCACCGACTTGGTTTAATCATAACAATGGAGTAGTGAAAGTAAATGCGGTAATATCCTGGCGGGACTAGTCATGCCCGAAAGTGTAGGAAAAAGGCTTCCGTTGGGATATGAAATTTTTACATTGTTATTTTGAGGTTATTCTCTAGTTAGATCTTTTAGCTAGCCCACTCATGGCATGGGAGAATGTAATCTATCTCTTTTATTTTTAGATCTCTTTTGCTAGATTGAACAAATTTCTAGTAATGTTAAGCAAAGGAAAACAATTGCCGACTATAGTATTAAGGATTGCTTTTCTTAGGAATTAACATAAATTTAATGATGTTAAGTCAACTGTGGATCGAATGTTGATTTTAATTTTGGGTCTTTAAGAATCAAATTATCTATTTATGGCATGACTTGTCTGTCTATGTTACAGCTAAGTCTTGACGATTTCTCGGAGATTATCCATCGATGCAACATGATACAAGGTTCTGAAGGCTCCTGAGTGGCTAAGAGTGCTCAGTCTACCTACTGCTCTGATTAGGTATGGTGGGTAATTGGCTACGACTTTTTCCACCCCTTTCACTAGTTAGCAATGGTGATATCAGAATTAGTGACCGTATTAGTGGTACTTGTTAGATTTTAAATTCTTGGGGTTGAGGAAAGACAAAGGAAAAATGGCTCTTCGAAGCTTTCTTTTCTTGTTTAAGCTAAAGCTGATATCAATGCATAAGTCAGAGGTGAAAGATGGTGGATTAAAAGTGATCTGGACGATGAGGAAACCAACATTTTCTTGCTACATAATGGAATGGCCTCATTAGAGCTCGAATTTAATGAAGTTGTACTTGCTGATTTCCTCTTGTGTCGACTTCTGATTTGTGTCTTCATGTTCTATATCAGGAGTGATTGATCAAGTGGTCATTTTACTGCCGGGTTCTGTAACAACAGCAAGAAAGGAAGCACCTAGGTAAGCGAGAGATAGAAGCAAGAAAGTAGCTTGATCTGCTAGCTGTTGTTAAAATCGGAGCTTTCACAGATAACTCACCAAATGCTGGTTGTATATACTATCTTAGACAACTGAATTATCTACAACTTTTACAAGCTGATCTATTTGAGGTTAGGATTAACGTGACAGCAGATTATAGCTTGCTTAACCTTTTATGCCAGTTGAATTATTTGTTGCGTTGTTCCATAAAAAGAACAAGTACCCTAAACTGGTGCTGTCATGAAGGTTGGGTCTTGCTGTTATGCATGATTGATTAAATGGACACATTTTTGTCTATCCTGTGAGAAATATTTTTAAGTTGGTTGGACGGCAGAAACCAAGTTGCATGAAAGAAATCCTGCAATATGCACCTTTAGAATAGTCGGGTTTGTTTAGGTTGGCATGGAAGCAACAGGCTGTGTCTCAGTTTTGGCTGATGCCAAGATGTCGCGATGCTCTTAATAAGCTCTGCCGTGTGCCTGCGATCGGCTCTCCTTCCGAGGCCTTAGAGCTTAGAGCATTCAAACGAAGGCTACACAGAGAGCAGATAATGTTGTCGAAGAGACAACTAAAGAATCATTCCTGGTTTGCACACCTCGTCAGACATTGCTAGTGACTACATTTTCTTGGTATCCCAAGAAAAGGCGACATTCGTCTCGAACGTTATTCCTTGGCTTGCCTTGTTGTATTTTTGAAGTTTTTGGCATATGCCTTCAACTCTAACTTATCCTTATTGCTTACCGCAAATAAGCAGGCAACAATGTGCATTGTCCTCACTACTTATCAGTTATCTTTCTTTGGTAGGTTTTTGAATATATTTGATAAGTTTCTAATTACCATCGAATATTTTTCTCTTCAAAGAATTAGAAAACCCCTTCTTTACTTACTAGATTAAGTGGATTATTATCTTAATTGAATCATTTATGTCAATTCTAATTAAAGGTCATCAAAGAAGCTTTAGTCTCATTAAATTTTGAATTTTAATTTTCAAAACTTAATTAGATCATCAAACAGGCCAAAAGAGAGAGGAGGGGGAGCGGAGATGAACCGTCGCCGCTGATCACTCGCCGGGAGTGTACTTGGCTCTCCCTAGGGCAAACAACCTTATCTAGGGACATCGTCTGCCATTGCGAGGGTTGCTATCTCTTTGCGACTACCAAGAGCGTTTAATCTTATACCACATGGCACACACTACACGTTTTACACGCTGTCCTTTCCAAAATTGCTTAAAATGTTTCAAAGTTCTCAATTAAGCAATTCACCCCTTCTTGATTGTGCCCGTCTTCTCTGTTTCATTTTTCTCTTTAGTCAAATTTGAAGATAGTGACCGCAGGGGCTTGTTTGCCATCTTCACGCAATGGCGGTGGTGGTTCACACCATCTTATTAGGCTCATTGACGTCGAGACACGGAACAAATCAAATTGTAAGATGTTTATATTCTTTAGACACGTCTTAGGACGTTTGCTATGTTTTTTTAACTTTAATTAGGCCCTGCTATAGATTGGCGAATCAGTCTGGAGAAGAAGGAAACATTCATCCTTGATTCATCAATTGTGGGGTTGACAATGAAGCATGAGCCCATAATTTAATCATCCGATCCACTTACTTCCCTTTTCATTTGTTTGGATGAACATGTGTATATTGGACCTTATGGATTTTGTCGATATTGTAACGACATGCATGCTTTGGTTTCTGAGATAAATATAAGAGCCATTTCCCATGTGGTTCACCAATTATCTTCCTTTCATCTATCGCTTTGAGTTTCTTCCATATGTCCAAAGCCTGATTCTGAACCTATAAAGTTTCCATTTTGGTTCCATTAGACGTACTTAAACGTGCAGCCTAAATGAATTTTTGTTGTATACATATACAAGGTCAAACAGAGACAAATATATTCTTCTTGGTTGCGACAGGAGACGTAATCATTGTGGTTGACATATTATCACTATTGCATATCCAAGAAAAAGGCGTTGATCTTGTTTGATTGATTATCCTTTTGGAGTTTGTGGCTATAAAAAGAAGAATGGATCATGGTCACTCAAAATTTCAATGTATTACACTATCACGATCCTTCGAGTCATATGTTCGGATATCCTACTTGTTGTCGCATTTCTAAAGTTGAAGATTTGCGTGTGAAAGAGATGTCTAAAGCCGGTATACCTCGTCACCAAATTTCATTCTTCGTTGAGACAAAGTAATCTCAACGTTCAGCTATAGCTAAAACTATTTGCAACATGAAAGCGAAATAAATGATAAAGATATGAATGGTCTCACAATGGTCCAAGCTTTATTGAATGAGCTTAGTGGATTCATCTACAATTTAAAACATGATGTTGAGGGTCGCTTTAGGCACTTATTTTTCTCTGAACCTATCTTCATGGCACTAACAAAGAGTTTATCAAATTTCTCTGTAATCAATTGTACTTACAAGACTAACTGATACAAAATGCCTTTGTTGGTAATTGTTGAAGTTACCAACTTTAATGCTCTTTTCTACTCATGCTTTGCCTTTTGAGAAAGGAGGAAAAGGAAGATAATGGATTGGCTTTTGACAATGTTTAGCAACATATTCGGTGTTAATGGTCAACCTTTAGCTTTTCTCATTGAAGAGCAGTGGATTCACTTGTCCTAGAAGTGTGAATTTGTTGCGTGTTTGGCACATTAAGAAGAATATTGTGGGAAAATGTAAATCTCTTTTGAAGATGGAACATATTGGGATTCTTTAATATCTTATTTGTGCAAGGTTTTGAAATCCAAGAGTGAAGCAGAATATGATGAAAATATTTGGCAATTTGAAGCACTACAAAAAAACATGTTTTTTGCGACGGATTTTGCGACAAAAAAATCGCAAAAATCCGTCGCAAATCATTTTTGCGACGAATTTAGCGACGGAAAAAATTCCGTCGCTACTAGGTCGTCGCAAATTTTTGCGACGAAAAAAAAATTCGTTGCAAATTTGTGACGAAAAAAAAATTCGTCGCAAAAAATTCGTCGCAAAAATCGTCGCAAATTAGCCACGAACACTATCCGTCGCAAAGTTCGTCGCAAATATTTCGTCGCAAAAATCGTCGCAAATTAGCCACGAACACTATCCGTCGCAAATATTTCATCACAAAATTCGTCGCAAAATTCGTCGCAAATTAGCCACGAACACTATCCGTCACAAAGTTCGTCGCAAAATTCGTTGCAAAAATCGTCGCAAAATCCGTCGCAAAAATCGTCGCAAAATTCGTTGCAAAAGTCATCGCAAAATTTGTCACTAATTTTTCGTCACAAATTTTCATCGTAAAATTCATCGCTAATTTTTCGTCGCAAAATTCGTCGCTAATTTTTCGTCGCAAAATTCGTCGCTAATTTTTCGTCGCAAAATTTGTTGCTAATTTGCCACGAAATTCTTTTCTTTTTGTTAATAATTTGCGACAAACTGATTCGTGGCAAAATTTGTCGCTATTTTGCCACGAACATTATTCGGGAACGAATTTAGCGACGAATTTTTATTAATTCGTCGCAAATTAGCAACGAATTATAAAAATAGTTACGAATGTGTAGCAAAATTTTATTACAGGTTGGCCTCCTCACAACTGGCACAATGCAAATTGTATCTAATCCACGGCTGAAACCTGGTATATTAACCTCTGATATCAAGTACATGAATATTGGCAACAATAGTACATGCTTTAATATAAATTCTCAGTACGCTCTCGAGGGAACCCTGAGCTTCATATCCTCGGCGGCCCACCACACCCTCCTCGAGATCTCCCGCCACCCCTTGTACACCCGCACCACCGCGAGCAGCTCCGCCGGCGGCAACCTCCTCAGGACCTCCCACAAGCACCTGGCGGGCAACCCGCCGGCGTCCGCATCCCCGTCCACGAAATCTCGATCCCGCTCGTCGAGATCCGGCTCCACCTCATCGAAGTCCTCCTCCTCCTCGTCGGCACGGACGTCGAGGTCGTCGAAGGAGAGCACGCGGCGGATGAGAGCGAGGACGGCGTGAGGGCGACAGCGGACGCGGAGGAGGCGGCAGCAGCGGCGGCGTTGACGGGCATGGAGGAGGCCGCGACAGCGGCAGCGGCGGAGGAGGAGTCGGCGGCGGGGGAGGGGGAGGAGCCGGCATGGCAGGAGCGGCCCTTCTTGGAGAGGCCGCAGCAGCCGCAGTTGTAGCTGCCGCGCTTCTTGCCGCGCTTGGCGGTGGCGTCGTCGTCGGAGGAGGCGGCGAGGGAGTCAGAGGGGAGGAGGTGGGGCTGGTGGAGGCGGCGGATCATGACGAAGGAGCGGCAGAGGAGGCTAGAGAGAGAGAAAGAGGGAGAGAAGTTAGAGAGAGAGGGGGAACGCTGTGGTGGTGGGGGAATAAAAAAAGAGAGCGAAGGGGAGACGATGGCGCGAGGGGGGATAGCGCGCGGGTTCCTGAAAATTTTCCACGCGGGTTCCTGAAAATTTTCGATCCGACGCAAATTTGCGACGGAAAAAAAAATCCGTCGTAAATTTGCGATAGATTTTGCGACGGAAAAAAAATCCGTCGCAAATTTGCGACGGAAAAAAAAAATCCGTCGCAAATTTGCGACGGGAAAAAAATCCATCGCAAATTTGCCCCAAAAATAAAATCCGACGCAAATTTCCGACGGAAAAAAAATCCGTCGCAAATTTGCGACGGAAAATAAAAATCCGTCGCAAATTTGTGACGGAAAATAAAAATTCGTTGCAAATTTGCGACGGAAAAAAAATCCGTCGCAAATTTGCCGCAAAAATAAAATCCGACGCAAATTTACGACGGAAAAAAAATCCGTCGCAAATTTGCGACGGAAAGAAAATCCGTCGCAAATTTGCCCCAAAAATAAAATCCGACGCAAATTTGCGACGGAAAAAAAATCCGTCGCAAATTTGCGACGGAAAATAAAAATCCGTCGCAAATTTGCGACGGAAAATAAAAATCCGTCGCAAATTTGCGACGGAAATAAAATCCGTCGCAAATTTGTGAAGGAAAATAAAAATCGGTCGCAAATTTGTGACGGAAAAAAAAAATCCGTCGCAAATTTGCCCCAAAAATAAAATTCGACGCAAATTTGCGACGGAAAAAAATCCGTCGCAAATTTGCGACGGAAAAGAAAAATCCGTCGCAAATTTGCGACGGAAAATAAAAATCCGTCGCAAATTTTGCGACGGAAAAAAAAATCCGTCGCAAATTTGCCCCAAAAATAAAATCCGACGCAAATTTGCGACGGAAAATAAAAATCCGTCGCAAATATGTGACGGAAAAAAAATCCGTCGCAAATTTGCGA